TGGGCAAGACACGTTTTCCTCACCCTGCAACAACAGAATACTAGCATCTTGGAAATATGTGAGACTTCCTTCTGGTAGTAGGCAGAGAGGGAAGAGCAGTTGCTGAGCATCTTCTTCCTCCCCATCTTGTTTAATATAGTTTATTCATCTGTAAGTTGTAGTGAGTAACTTACAGCTACTCTCTTGCCAGACTGCATGAATTGTGGATGGCTCTTTTATGAGTTTTCATGTTGACTCTTGCAATTAGTATGCATTGGATGTAGTTATCGGTATGGCATCTACTGTAGCGTAGGTTTCAGCCTTTCTGACTGTTTAATTGCTTTCTTTTTTAGCAATCAGTCATCTGTCTGTCTTGCTAAGGAATGCAAAGGGAACACAAGCAGCTTGATAGAAACTTAGAGTTCAGTGTGGAGCAGCAGGTTTGAAATTATGTACTTAAGTGAAAAAGTAGAAGAAAAATGACATACATGGAGGATCTTTGTTCTCTCTGGTTGTTTTTTTTTTTTTTTTTGCTTATGTGCGTGCTATAGTAGGGTCAGAATGTTCCACATACCTTTGGGTCCCACTCTGATAGGTGAATGTCTCAGGAGACTGTACCTGTACTACAGTTTATGCCTGTAGTTTAGGGATAAACTTCATGATTCACAAGGCATGTGGATRTGGCACTTGAAAATGTGGTTTAGTGGTTACACAGTCGTGTTGGGCTAATGCTCGGGCTTCATGATCTCAGACTCCTTTTCCAACCTTAATGATTCTGTGACWGCCTTTCGTGTTTTATTGTCTTAACACAGATCAGCACACCTGCATGTATCTCTGCACGTGTGTGTGCTCTGAGCTCTTGGATGCCACTCTTGGCACCTGGGGATGCTCTCGTCTGTTCAGTACTTCTGCTTGTTCTGTCTTCTCTGTCTCTTTCCTGTCTGCAGAAGCGTTTTGTAGGTGTGAAAGGAGAGTTTGTCAGGTTTGCTGTTGGACTCTGTTGAGGCTGGGGCAATGATTTTTAGCTAATGGGCTGCAACAGTTGATGGGGGAGACAGGGAGCGTTGAAAGCAACCGTAACTCGACTACAGCAGTCACAGATTGCCGTATGTAATAAAACTTCTCATGATTACTGTGTGCTGAAACAATTTGAACTTTCAGTACTCCCAAATGTCTGCGGAAACAATAGTCCTACATCAAGGCTATGCCTTCCTATGATGTCTCCAGGGTTTGGTTTGAGTGCTGGTATTTTAATATATATATAGTAGTTGAGAATAATTGTGTCTGCAGCTAAAATGCGTTCCCTCATCTGACTCTGGTTGAAAAGTTCATGTGCTGTTTCATTGCTTCCACTGTTCACTTAATCACACCGTGGAAACCTAGGATGGATTTCTCAAGGCAGAGTCGTGCTGGTGTGAGGAAAGCAATAATTCAGTGCAGTGATGCTTTGCATTGCTGTTGGAATGGATTGTGCCGAGCACAGTGACTCATTTCAGTGGCCCAGCRCTGATGTTGTGCTGGCTGGGGAAGCGATAGCCTGGCRCTCTGAATTTGAGCAGCGCCTACAYGAGGGGGTTTGTTTAAAGCCTGCTTAAATGTGAATTGCCAGGAGATTATTTTAGGAAGGAGAGAATTTGCACAGCCAGCTGGGCTCCAGCAAGGGAGATGGCTGCCTCTGTAACCACTTGGCRTGACTCTCAGTGGGCTCTCAGCTCTGAGATGGGGGGTATAATTCTRTCAGAAAGGAGTTTCATCCACAAACTTTGCAGCCAATAGAAGTTTGGAGCATCGTATTGCAGTGGGAGGACTCACATAAGCAGGATTTTCGTTTTCCCTTTAAATATATGATGGCACAAGGCTTTTGGGAACCCTCTAATACTGCTGTTACAGAGGATAACTTCTATGGAATCAGTCTCTTAGTTTTGTGGATCAGTGGATTTCTCTCACTGCTCCCCATCTCCAAACAGCTCATCTAACTCCAAACATAAKACTTTGATGAAGAGGAAGGTCTGGGAGCTTGAGTGATGGAGGGAAATTGAGAGGGCTGTACTATAGGCTTTGCCTATAGCAAGGTTGCTGTTATCAAATAGGTGTGAAACAGATTGTTTGTGAAACTATGTAACTTCTCAGCAGTTTCTTGCTCATTCATGGAATAACGTAAGATAAACAAGAGCTTGTACTGCCARTTTCTATCCCTGAGGTAAAACAGTAGTTCACTTGTGCACTATCCTTTCTGACTGAGGGATTTTGACCAACTTTCTTATACTGAAAAAACTGAGAGCAGATGTCCCTGGGGTTTTGCACTGGTGGAACTGAGAGGGAGGATGCTTGACATCCAGAGATTTTTCTCAGTCTTTTTTGGGTGGTTTTTTTTTTTTTTTTTTCTTTTTTTTTTTTTTTTCTTATGTTCTTTTTCTTTCTCCCAGTACTAGGCCAGCTTCTGCGTCACGTTTTTTTTTTTATCTTTCTCACCTCTTTTTCTCCTGCCTGGAGCCACATACTGCTCTATTTTGGTCTGAAGTTGCATCCATTTCCCAACTTAGTAAACTTTACTCTGTCCCCTGCTTAATTTTGTGCCATGACAGAGGCTAGAAGCACCCATTCTCACCTGCTCACCTCTCTGCTCAGTGGGAGAGGGACCCAGAAGTGAGTCAGTCTCTATCCCAGCCATGTCTGCAGCTCTGGGAAGTCTGGCTGGTGGGGGAATTTTTGGATGCGCCTTTATTCAAACCCCCGTGGGGGTAAACAGGGGTGTTAGAGCTGCAATTGTGGTGCCACTCCTGGGGAGGTCTGTCTGGGAGACACCGAGCTGCTAACATTCCTTTTCCTTCTGCTTCCTTCTGTTTGCAGTATATTCCTAGCACYTTCCTGGCAGTTTGCTTTCTCGTAGTTAAATAAGATCAATGCAGAGAATGCATCTCTTATGGGACATTGCTCCCTATGTTGTTTCAGATGGTTTAGTTGTGCCAGTTCAGTTCCAGCCACTGACACTGTGATGTGCAAAGCCCATCGGTGAGGCCTCAATATCCTCATGTTCCACCAGATCCATGCACAGCAGTGGCTGCCAAAATTACTGCTCGGGTTTTAGCTTAGACTTTTTTCCACTGCTTCGGCAGGGAGAGTATTTGTTTGCACCAACCACTTCATGGCTGGCACTCCAGCTGTCACTGAGTTCTGTTCTGTTTTATACTCGAGGAAGGCATGAGGCTGAAGCATGAGTGGTGGGACACGCACAGGGCACATGCAAGGACGCGCCCAGACAAATGTGCAGCTGATTTCCCSCACCCCTCCCAAATGCCAAAGCTGTCCCACCATTAAAACCAATCTCCAAATGCTAGTCTGTCATTTAATATTYCATTGCACTGCTGTATTGGAAGGAAAAATAGGGCTGGGGTCAGGCCTTTTGCAAAATTYCCTGTGTGTGAAGACTTGCCCAAAGCCTTACAGGCTGTACAACACTGCCAACTCTCCCGTTTAAGAGCAAGTGTGAAGAAACTGGGAATCAGGTGGAGGAGAAGGTGGAGCTGCAGGCCAGCCATGGCTTGGCAGGCAACAGCAAGGGAAACTGCTYTTGGCAAAATCCGACACATTGCTGCACAGTGACTCCTGCGGGCAGTGTTTGCCTGCCTTCCTTCCCCACAGCAGTGAGAGCAGTGAGACTGGGTCTGAGTCTTGCCAGTTGTACTGAGGATCAGTAGCTTGGCTGAAAGAGACTTTGGAGGCTGGCTGGGTGCTGTGTGGCCATAGGACTGTGCTRTGGTGGTGGCATCTGGAGTGTGACTCAGTGTCACACAGTCCAGCCTATGGCAAGCGCTCCCTGGCAGTCTCAGTGATCTCAGCTTTGTAACTACATTTCTCATTTGCACAGGGCAAACAGCTCCTGACTTTCTGCCACCCTGTAATTCTCCCTGAGCGAAACATCTTCCCTTACTGCCTGTGAAATTGGTAAAGCTGTTGAATTGCTTTTTCCACCCAAACAGAAACTGTTCCCACTTTGGTCTTTACTCAGCAGTTAACTCCCAGCTCACTTTCGAAAACATAGTGCAGATGAATTCCAGTTTCCAGAAGGATCTGGCTGCAGCCGGGCTGTGTCCAGAGTAATGCTGATCTCATTTGGGTGGGWCAAGTTAGTTGTTGCAGAATAATCTATTGCCCTGTTCCCAAGCTTCCGTCTTTAAATCTGCACAGCAGGGATTATTTRCTTATGGATTTAAGTGCATGTTGGGGATCTAGTTTCGTCTGACCCTCCCAACAGAACAAAATGCAGTCAACTTCCTGGCAGTTGGAGTTCTCCTGAAGTGTGCTGTATCTGCAGAAAGGCCAGGGCTGGCTTGGCACAGTTGAGGGCTGTGGCAGTGCATCTGAGGTGACATGGGTACAGCTCAGGGCTTCCTGGCCACCTCTGCCTCTGAAGCCTCTCAGCAGCTTTTTAACAAAGGAGCCTGAGTGGCTGCATCRAAACTCTTGGAGTACAAACTTCAGTGCCTGTGTTGTGCTGTGCTGGAGACTGATGCAAATCTTTGGACATAGTTTTTAGAAGAACTAGCATGGATCTGAGAAGTATTACAAACTCAGCAGCTTATTGGCTCTTCTCAGGTGTCCCTACTCTTTACCACCTTTTATTTACCTTTGCATCCTGCACTTTGGCTCCACGGTTTGCTTGAGAATTGGTTGTATCCTGAAAGAAGCTTTTCTCAGTGAAAAATAACTCAAATGCTTGAACCTAGTCCTGTTGACAGTAAAAAAAATTTGAAGCTTGAGTAGAATTTGTTGTGCTGACACAAATTGTTGTTCTGGGTTTATGTTGCTGTCATGATCCCTGGAAGTGTTCCAAAAGCCTGTGAATGTGGCACCTGGACATATGGTTTATGGTGAGCACAGCAGTACTGGGTTAATGGCTGGACTGAGGCTGCAGAACTGTCTGCAAATGCCTGCTTGTGATTTACTTGATTGAGTGTGCTTTTAGTTTACAATAAATAAATAATTATGTCTTCCAATTTATTTTCTTTTCCAATTCCCAGTAACGGCCTCCCCAACTGAAGATGTCTAACAATGGAGTTGAAACAGAAGACAAACCACCTGCTCCTCCAATGAGAAATACCAGCACTATGATTGGATCAGGAAGCAAAGATCCTGGGACCTTAAACCATGGCTCAAAACCTCTGCCTCCCAATCCAGAAGAAAAGAAGAGGAAGGATCGATTTTATCGATCTATTTTACCAGGAGATAAAAGTACAGTATTTCATCTCTTCTAATAAACCTTCTGTTTGAATGTAGTCAGGAACTTGATGCATTGTGATGGTTGAGGTTTTAGAAAACATTGGGTGTTTGTTTCATGCATGTCTGTCTTGGTTGTTTTGGRGTGCATAATGTACAGTCTGTGAATTTGTTTTTTCTAATGATTAATCCTGCCACATTTCATCCATAACACCTTTTTTTTTCATAAGGTCATAGAATCCTAGAATTATTTGGGCTGTAAGKGGCCTTAAAGATCATCTCGCTCCACATCTCCTGTCATAGGCAGGGATACCTTCCACTACTGGAGGCTGCTCAGAGCCCCATTTAGCCTGGCCTTGAACATTTCCAGCGATGGGGCATCCACAGTTTCTCTGGGCAACCTGTGCCAGTGCCTCACCACCCTCACAGTGAGGAATTTCTTCCTAATACCTAATCTAAACCTACCCTCTGTTGTTTCTAGTCTATTCCTTCTTGTCTTATCACTCCATGTCCTTGTCAAAATCCCTCTGCAGGGCTCTTGTAGACCCTCTTTCTTCTAGGTTTTTTTTTTTATTTTTTTTATTTTGCCTTTCCTGTAAATTATCCTGAAAASTGGGATTAACTCTGGGACTAGCTCTGTAACTTCCCAGCCTGACTTGTCCGTAGTGGTCTTGAAAATAATAAATTTTTTTGTGCCAATTGCAAGCTGGCCAYTAAAGCTGGCATTGACAATTCCTTTGGTGGAGAGCAGAGGGAGGTCTTTTTCCTGTTTTGTTGTTTTAAACAGCAAATAATTTGAGTTATACAAGACTAACATGCAATTTCCTTCTAGACCTGTCATATTTTACYTCATGGCCATTTACTCTCTTCTAATGTCTGGGTCAGGCATTCTTTACTTGCTTTTAAGAACAGTCTGTCACTGAAAATTCTTGCATATTTCTTGGGTACTGAAGGAATTTTTCATGTTCAAGGGATTGTAACAGATGGAAAAAGAGATAGGAACTGTGAACTGTACATGAAATGCTAATTTTTAGGATGAGGMTATTTTAAAAAACCTCTCTCTCATGAATCTTTTGAAGTGGTGCAAGAAAAAAATATCTCCATCCCCTAATATGTGCTCGTTTCTTTTTATATCTGACCTATTTTTTTGAGTTCCTCTTCCTAATACATCAGCTTTTTTCTGTATTGCAATGGTATCTGAGCACTGGGTAACTAAAGTCAAGACTAGATATCTTCAACTCCACATTCTTCAGGAGGGAGGCTGCCTCCTAATTTTTATTAGTGTAAAGACTAATTGAAATKATAGCCTTATTAATTTAAATAAGCAAGATGGTGGATCATTTTCTACAAAATACTGTGCCATTTGTTATTCTTATCTGATACTTGTGGAAACTTTGGATTGTTTTCCAGATGTKGGGGTTTGAACCTGCAATCAGAAACCCTTGAACTCAGTGTTAAAAGTCTGCAGGATTCCTGTTAGAACTCTCTGTTATGAGTATGAATAAAAAAGCTGCAGGATTTTTGTGTTGGTTTACTTAAGGGAGAGGAGTTTTTAAATCTCTATGATCGACTGTTTCAGAGATCAAAGAAATCTCCTGAAACTTGTAAAGSACTAAAAGAAGTAGAACCTGAAATGCTAGTTTGGAATGGGTTATGAAGGAGAGCCACAAAGAAGGAGAAAAATGAACGTTTTGGGTAAAATCAGCAGACAGACTGCGGCTGATCAGAAGATGCCTGTGTTTACTGAAGATTGGCCAACATGGCAGATGCTTCAAGACATGAGAGATTTTTGTTTAGCCAAGCCCAGCAGAGCCTTCTGTTGCAGTACACCTGCCCAAACGAGAATGGTTGCTTCTGTCCTCTAATTCTTGTTGAGCAAAAAGTTCTTCTAACACTGTCACCTTCACTTCAAATTGGTTGATTTTCATCCTATGAGAACTTCTTCTAATCTCCTGATGACAGCTAAATTCCCAGTGCTTCATGCTAGTTAAACCTAGAGAAATTCTTCAGCGTTCTGACACTTCTCTTTGGTTTGTGCCTGAAATAATTTGGTTGTTATTTGCYAGTTTGGCTGAACTAAAAGGGAAGTTGGTTTCCATGCAGTCAGAAGAAAGTAATTTTGAGCAAATCTGTGCTACCCCTGTGCATGAGCAGAGGTGTTGCATAAAGGACACATGGGACAAAAATCCAGGGCCTCAGCATGTTTGCACACTTCGATTGAGCTATACCMCTTGCCAAGTGGCTCTGGAGGAGTCATGCTCTGCCTGCAGAATTTAGCATGTAATTTGTAGTCATGATTTCCTCTATCCCAGCTTAAACCACAAAACTAGTATTTAAAAAAGCCTGTTGGCTTAATACTGGGTGGGTCCTGTCCAAAGGGATTCAGATTTTGTGTGCCTTGTTGCTTTCAGCAGGRCTTGTGAACATTTGAATTTTCCTAGGCTCAGGGAGCTCATCAGTGCCTGATTGARGGTATCAGTCAGCCTTGAATGGGGCACATTGAGCTCCTCTGAGCTTTGCTGAGCTCAGCTGCAGCTTCACAGAGGCAAGGTTTTACCCACAAGGTGACAGTGTACAGCAACCARGAGCCCTTTCCATGGTGATTGGGAGCACTTTAGTCCATGTGAGCAGTGGTGAAGACCTTTCYCATCTCAGTGTGCTTCAGGATGGGCTCACTGTGTGGTCAGACATCATGCTTCATACTTGCAGCTCAAGTTGCCAGAGCATCGTAAGGATAATTCATGGGAGGCTCTTGTGACAGGATTGAACATGGGAGGTTATGAATGAGAAAGTGGTGASGTGTTTGTGGGAATAAAGCCCTTGGTGGTGGTAGGTAAACTTCTTCAARCCTTTTTAGCTTGTTGCAAGGATATTGCAACCACTTTAGGGGCAACTAAGTGCTTTGCAAAATTGGGAGTGCCTGTCTCTTTAGTTCTTTTCTCCTCACACCACCTGCATGACAAATACCTGCTTGAAAAGGTAATTGTGTTATTAATGGCTTAAAAATGTTTAGGCTTCTACATCTGTCAGATCTACCTGAATGTAGGAAAAAACCCCAACACCTAAGACTTCTGGATATCGGCTTAATGCCCTTAAGCTTTTTTAGGAATATGTTCAACTCTGCTGTGGCAGTTGCCCTGCACCATGCCTCATGCATGAATCCTGTGTAGTGGTGCTGGTACAGGTGTCCTCTTCTTCCTCACCTGAGCAATGGCCTTCTAGGCTGAGATGGCACCTCAGCCTTTGGCTTGGAAGAATGGGCTGATCCTGTGGGCAGACCTATGGAAAATGGTGCCTGTGATGGCAGTCCCTGCACCRCTTTGCCTCTCGCTTTCCATCCAGTGCCGGGTCATGCAGGAGGCCTCTGTGCTGCAGATGCTCACCATCTGCTCACCAGCAGCTGCCTCTGTCTCCTCCTCACTCCCTTCTCAGGGATGTCTCCTCCAGCATGGCTCTTTTCCCCTTGGCAACGCTGTCGATTCAGCTTCCTCCATCCCCTTTGTTTGAAAGAGGGATCAGAAACAATCTGTTCCATCTTCGTGTCCCAAATGGAGCATCTGATCTTTTTCTTTCTCCAGAATTACTCTTTACAACTGTAGCTCTGTAATGATACAGAGAACAGTGCCAAAGCTGGCACTGAAGGAAATGGGATTCAGTCCTTAGGGGCAAGCCCTGAGCCTCTCTGCACAACCAGCCACAGCAGTGCCTTACAGAATTGCTACACTCAGCATCAGCCTTGCAGGCTTCTGAAATACCTGGGTTTTGGCATTCGTGTTTCCAAAAGTGCACTGGGGAATGTCAGCCACAAAACAAATTCTGTTTGGYTCTGGATAAAGAAGGGGAGCAGCTGGGAAATGTAAGTGGTTTGCTCACCTTCTCCTGGCCCTGATGATTTTATAACTGCAAGCAGCAGCAAAGCTGACTAGAATTTGGTTTTTCTTTAAACTAATCTAAATTTCTTGAACACAATAAATACTAAAAGGAAGCTGGAGTCCTCAATATATATAATGAATATGGATGAACTTAATCCAATGCATAATGATAATCTTGTTTGAAGACCTCAGTTTAAAATGTGCAGGGTGCCTCTGCTTGATTTCCCTCCCTGTTGCTTTATGACTTCTGCTCCTCACCTGCCAGATTCTGCAGTCTTGCTTATGTCTTCAAAGCTGGTTATTAAAACCACCTTTAGCTCATTTTGTTAACAAAAAAATCTAAAAGTGCTTTTGCTCATAAGATTTTATAGCAGAAGCACACATTATATTTGGGTTTCTTCATAAACTTTTGAGGAAATAGAAYGAAGGAAGCAATTTCTAAGCAGTATTTGTAGTTAATTTTGTGCCTGGCTTTGTATGAGAGACAAGGGTATATTTTAAAGCACATAATATTTAAAAAAATATTGCTTAAAACAGCTAATAAAAATGTTTTCAAAACTGATTGTCTTCCACTTACTGCCACTGCAGAGCTTTTGACTCTAACCTGTATAAATTTGAGTTAATATTTTGGGTAAATAACTCTCRTACTGTTGAGTCTAGACATACTAGTTAATACTTTACATACTGAAAACATCAGTTTCCTTCTCTTATGCTTGTCCTGTGTTATGGGACTTTTGTTTCTATTGTCCATTCACTGTGGCTGCTCTTAAATGAGGAAACAAAGTTTTTAAACTTGCTGTTTGTCTGCTTCAAATTGAAATCGTATGACTAGCAAAAGTKCAGGGGGATGATTGTGTAGGTGAGTAAGAAGCTGTTGGGGAGATTTTATTTCTTAATGCATTTATGGATTTTTTGATTGTTGGTTTTTTTTGTCTCTTGCAGCTAATAAGAAAAAAGAGAAAGAGCGGCCGGAGATTTCCCTTCCTTCAGACTTTGAACACACAATTCATGTGGGGTTTGATGCAGTCACGGGAGAATTCACGGTGAGTGAACATGGAGGAAATGAGAGCTGTGTGGTTTAGTTTATTGCTGGGAGGAACCAGTGCCTATTAATCTKTTATATATTAATGCTGGAAAGGCTATTACCATCATCTAGTTTGATCTGCTTTGAAACACATGTGCAGAGGTTACCCACTAACCCATGTGAGAGTCTGTCAAACCTGGCACATCCCAGGAGCCCAGGCTGCCAGCAAACTTTTCCTTTCCTGTTTTTTTGGCTGTTGTGGTCAGCAAAACATGGTATATCTTTCCTCCCTTCCTTTTTCTTCCCCTCCCTTCCTCTTCTAGAGCTGAAGTAGGTCTACAGCATAGTCCGTGTCCCCCAAGTGGGGCTCTGAGTTTTCCTTTGGGAGGCACACAGCTGTGTACAGCTACTTAGGACAGAATATGTATGCTGCCCTAAGGCTAAATATCAGATGCTTTTATGTATTGTGGGCTTTAAGGCTAAATATCAGATGCTTTTATGTATTGTGGGCTTTTTTTTTCTTTTATTGGCATGCAAAATACTGTGAAGTCAGAGTTGTATTTCATCACCATCATCATATTTTTATTCTTATTTTGGTTATAAGGTTGGTTGTATTTCATAGCAGCAGAAGTTGTTTGTGAGCAGGGTGTTTTTATCTGCCTGTTATGTGCTGCTCCTTCAGGGACTTTATTCCCCTACCCTGAATCACTTGTACAGCTCTGTTGTGCATGGCACCCTCTAGACCTGCCTGGGTTACCCTCCATGTGCCAGTGGGGCTTTCCCTGAGGTGTATCCAGCCATCCTTTTGAGCAGGGAGGATAACGTCATTGCTAGTGGATCCCAATCTCTGCCATTTTGTCCATACAAACTGTTTTTCTTGCTGGTGAGGAAAGGCACAAGTCTGGCTGTACTCCAGGTGTRTTTATTTTCTGGCTGAAATGATGTCCCTATAACGAAATTCTGAGCTTCAGATGGGAAGTTAACACCTGCTTTCCCATCTCTGGTTACAATGGGCACCACACTGCTGTTACCAAAGAACTCTAGTGCTACCAGAAGTCCCCGACGAGTGTTGCATGTCTATTGTGCTGGAGACTATGCAGTGTCAGTTTCTTCTATAGTCTTTAGTGGTGTATATAAATGTGTGTATACCTGTGCATAAAGGATTTTGTGTTTTGTTTCTTTCCTTAAGGCTGTTCCTCAACTGCAGCAATTAGGTCTTCTCCTTTATAGTTTTTGAATTTTGGTCTGCAAAGGACCTGGGACTCGCCCAGAGACCCAAGAGCAGAGTGACATTTACACACTCAAGTGCAGTTTGTAACACAGGCAGTGGCTAGGCAGGCACACAGTCATCATTTTTTTTTTTCCCCTCTTCTGTCCTCTTTTCTCCTTATTTCCCTCATAGTAGTGTGTAAAAGCTGGGGCACAGCTGTGGCGGTGGGCTTGTGTTTTGTGAATCGTGTTAGGCCAGCTGTATATTGATGAGATACCTCTTCCCACAGGGAATGCCAGAGCAATGGGCACGTCTGCTGCAGACTTCCAACATCACCAAATCGGAGCAGAAGAAGAACCCTCAGGCAGTGCTGGATGTGTTGGAGTTTTACAACTCCAAGAAGATCTCCAACAGTCAGAAGTACATGAGTTTCACAGGTACATGGTGATGGTCCCATGCTGCTACTTTGTCCAGCTCTCCATTAGTCTCTCCATTGTGTTAATCCTGATGCCCAGCACAGCTGCAAAAGAGGAGGTCAGTCAATGGGCTGAGCCTCCCAAACATGGACTTTTTCCGATGCTCACAGCCAGCATCTGGAAGGCAGATCCCAGACTGCTGGGATGAAAATCCCTGGAGAAAACAGGCAGCTAAATTTCGCACCAGTTTCAGTTTGCAGGGTGGGTGTGGATGTTGCTTTTTGGGTATTTGGGGTGAGAGTCTCACTGCTCCCATGTGCCATGATTTAGGAATACACCTCTGCTGCCTGGGTGCTTGATGATTGCTGGCTGGGTTCCCTTAAAAGTTAAAAATGCCAAGGTTTTGTGCAACTTTGTATGGATTACCTGTCCTCTGAARGACATCTGCAACYGCCACTCCTTTCYCCTTTCAACTGCAACTCCWTCCCTTTCTWAATATTAAGGGGTTCTTTTAAGGGSRTAGAACCATGTCACCAGATCTGKTACTWATTAGGAAGGCTCYAGGTGRGGATAGAAGCACAAATCKTCCCCATATGTGCCTGGATAGTCAAATGAGAAGCCACCAGTTGACTTGTAGGGTCCTCTGCAATTCCAGGAAGTTTAGGTGGCTGAGATGGAACATTTTGYGGTGGTGAGACAGCTGCAGTGCCTCTGCTGATTTAGCCCACTGATAATATTTTGTGCACGTGGATGGAGGGCAGTGTTCATTCAGGTGTTGCTCTGGGCAGTTCCATTCTCCTGCAGCAGGGATTTGTGACCCCTGCATTTGTCTGCATTTGTTTACCCTCAGTTCCTGTATCTACCAGGGTCAGCTTGTTCTGGGAAGCTGGAGTTAGGAAGTTCAGGAGCAGCCCTTTTTCCTGCCTTTTTTCAAAAGGACCTTGTCCCTTGCTCCTCTCCCTGCTGCTGCTGTGTTTATACCTCATTTATAGTGGCATTATTGTCTGTCTTTCAGATAAATCAGCAGAGGACTACAATTCATCTAATACWTTGGTAAGCCTTATATTCACATTCTGTCTAATGTTTGGGGATTAAAAAACTTGCAAAAGCTAGTTAATGACATATAAACTTCTAGTTTGCTTAGTGTTTTAAAATCTGAACTATATATATTTGTATGATGAAGACATGTTATCAAAACAGGCATGCTTCTTTCTCTTTTTTTTTTTCAGAAGACAGAAGTAGGATTTTTAGTGAATAGTGAATCAGTGAATGGAAATCATTGAATTAATTAATATAAATAGCTCTGTTTTCATAGAAGTTTGCCTGTTCCTGTACTTAGAATTTGATAGCCACTCTGTGTTTGGGTTTTATGTCTCTGTAAACATCTGTCATATAACGAAGTTTATTTACTAACCTGCAAGGTCTGATTTACCAAAGCTAATGTTGATTAACCAGACTAATCTCTAGCAGAACAGGAAATAAAAGGTTCTCCTTCTCTCTGCTTGACCTTTACTCAGTCCTTACCAGGGCAGGCACCACTCCTATTTGCTTTGTTAGGAGACATGATAAATTTCTGTATGTGCCTGTGAGRTGGAAGAAACAAAGTTTTCAGTTARAGATGGTTCATAAAACCCCACAAATTCCTCATCTCTTATTTTCTCACAGCCATGTCATTACTTAGAATTGGCTTGTTCTGCTCCCTTCCAAAGGCAGCTTGTTCAGCTCTAATTGTTTAGGACTCTGTAAAAAGAAAAGGAAAGTGTTTTTGTCAATGTTCTTTATTATATATCATTGTATGTCAGTCCTCAGAASTTTCAATATCTGGGGTTGGATTTTAAAGTAAATCCTATAAAAAGCAGTAGTTACCAGTTCTACTGAGATGGCTTGATTGAGAGCATTGGGTAACCTTTAATGTCAGGGATATTCAGGAAATTCCCAGTACACAGGCTCCCCTTGTTGCTTTTAACAAGCTAGGTTTTTGTGCTATCTCAAGAGCATTTTGCCAATTATTTGTCAGATTGATGGTAACTTCAAGAGTTTTAGGCTCAGTGAAATACTATATTGCTTTCCCCCTCTTTCTGAGGACTTTAATACTTTTTCCCTGCCACTCGTATGTGGTGATGTGATGATGTGAATGTGATGATGCACAAACAGAACTGGTCTAGTGGGTTGAGGACCTTGCCAAGTTTATTCTGTTTAGTTAGGAAGTAATTTTAAGAGATTTGAAAAGATTTTGACAGATTTTGCTTCCAAAATCTCACATTAATTAATTAGTTCTCAATCACAATACCAGAGACATGTGAACTTGACCTTCTAACTTTTGGAGAAAACATCAAGAGTTTGATGCAAATTATAGCAATTGAAGTCTGAAATCTTCATGCTGAATGGTCGGGGTTTGAAGCAAACAAAAAACCCGAAGAGAATATAAATAGGGATATTTCCAAACTCAGGTGCCCCAAAAATTGCTGGTCAGCTGTGTGGGTGTTGGGAAAGCGGTGAGAGAGCCCAGGGGGATCTCAGGTTTTTGGGAAGAGGATTGCTGTCCCACAGGCAGATGAGGAGCTCTGTCTGAGGGTTCCTGGGCTTTGAATTTTTCAGACACTCTAAGTTGCCAGCCTGGTGTGATGGCTGTTTTTCTGCACTTGCTTCAGTGCARTCTCTGTTAGGAGCCTAACCCAGTGTTTGTCATTTTGTTCATAATATGCAGTTGGGTTGTGATTTTTGCTATTTGTTCAACTCCATGCAGAATGTGAAGGCTGTCTCTGAGACCCCTGCAGTACCCTCAGTGTCTGAAGATGAAGACGATGAAGATGATGCAGCTCCACCCCCTGTGATAGCTCCRCGACCTGAACACACCAAATCTGTGAGCAGAAATTCTTCCTTCAGCCYGCTCTGCTGCAGTCACAGTCAGGCCTTGACTGTGGCTCTTTGTCCCTGCTGCATGGCACAGTGCTGAGCCCTTCTTGGGAGCAGGAGGGAGGCAGTGGGAGCCATTCCTTCTGGAACAGTACCTTAATATTGTCACTGCCTGGTTATGGAGGCACGAGTCCTTGATTAGTGATTTAGTTGCTAACAAAGTAGCTGTAGAAATGCATCCCTGAAAGCAATAAGAACAGTAACAAGATGAAGTGTTGAAATGTTCACCTGACTTGTGTGTTTTTCTCAAYGACATTAGATATACACCCGTTCTGTGATAGACCCTCTTCCTCCTCCTACCAGAGATGTGGCCACCTCTCCTATTTCTTCTCCCTCGGAAAACAGCACGACAGCACCCGACATGCTGGTCAGGAACACAGAGAAGCAAAAGAAAAAGCCAAAAATGTCAGATGAAGAGATACTGGAAAAATTAAGTATGTCCTTGTTCTTTAAAAAAGTTAAATTCCAGGTCCTGTGTTGGTTTCTCAGAATCTCAATAAGCCAAAATGTTTTGACTTTTCTATTTTGAAATCCCTTACCGGAGACATGGGCACAGAATCACAACACAGAACTGGGGGCAGATGCAAGAGGTGAGCTTGAATGTCAGCTAAGCACCTGTGATACGGGCTGAAGTCCCCAGGGAGTTACAGATCCTCAGGCTCTGCAAAACAAGCCTTGAATAAGTAAAATCTGCTTAACTATGAAGTCTGAGATTGTTCCACATCTTACTCTGTAGCTCTGAAGCACGAATGAGTATATTGCAATGTTAGACATAAGGTGTCTAAAAGATGGAGAGAAAATTAATGCATCCCCAAGTTTGCTTTGCACAGTATCGTGGTGTAAAGTGACTCAGTTATTTTTAAGTGCTTTAACATTTTGTGGGTAGCCAAATTGGTGTTTTTTTTCTGAGAAAAATTAATCAAGTCTCTCAGTTGTGTCCTCATGTCTTTGGCAGTTCCTACCTTCAGTGCAAGTGCTCCTCTGCTGCCTGGTGGTTTTGGGTTAATGCTGTGGCATATCCAACAGCTGAACCAGGTCTTTCATACAAYTGATTGCTGTCCTCAGCCTGGGCTGGGTTTTGCTAGAGTAAAGCATTTCTAATTCTTTGAACTACTAATCCTGTGTTAATTACATTCCATGCCTTGCTCAAAGGTTGATTTAAATTGTGTTAGCACCTCTGTGGTCAGGCTGCCTCCTCTGCTGGAGGGTATATTTGTCAGTATTTTAGGAATAAAAGTCGAGTAGCTAGATGAAGACTTAATCTGAGCATATAACTAGAAAAAAAAATTAAAATATTAAAATGGTATCAGAGTGATTTCTCTAAATAAAGCCTAAATTGAATTGATGGCATGTTAACTGGAACTGCTTGCTACTGGGAAACTCACACAGATAGTTTCAAACTGCAGCTTCACTCACTGAATTAGGAGGATCTTTGTACCATTAAGTATTTAAGCCATTTTTGTGATCAGATAGGGTAAGCAGCAACTGTAGCAAGACGTAAAGTGGTGTTCTAATACAAATACACCCASTTCAGTCATGAAGAGAAATGCAAGTGCTACTTTTAGGAGTGTTGGGAAGCAGATGTACCTTCTGACACTTTGCTTGCTCCAGATGTCAGTTTCTCCTTGTGGGCTAGTCAGAAAAATGTTATGAAGTTTTAATCTTTAGTCTTAATCTAAGTAAAAATGTCTTTCCACTGGGGGCAATGGAGCTGTACTTGTGCAGACAAGCAGTCTTTTGACATTTTAGTATGAYATGTAAGTAAAATGATTAAAACTGCAAAACAAAAATGTATTTACACATACTAAAGATGTGCTAAATGTGTGCAAAGGTTAAAAGGAGGCTGGTCAATCTCTACCTCTCAGCATAAACACAGTATTGGTGCAAACRTTAATGAATCTTCACCTGGTTCTTGGGAGAGTGGGAAACATCYCCCCATTTTAGAGTTAAGATCATTAAACAGGGCAAAACTGGCAAACGTCTCTTGTCACCACAGCATTCTGTCCAGTCCCTGCCTTGGGGAAACATTTGCTGTCTGAATTTGTACCCTGTGTTTGGCTTTGAGGGAAAAAATTATGAATATTTGTCCAGAAATACCAATGCTCAGGGCAGACAGCATTGCTTCTGTAGTTGCAGAGTGGGGTTTATAAAGCCARATTTCTCTTTCTGCCCTCCTCCCCGAACATGGGCCATATTCCCTACTCCTACCTCAGTCTGTCCTAAACTCTCTGGATTTGGCTGCTCTCCAGCGGTGTCTGAAAATAGCCTGCTCTTGCTCTGCTTGCTACTGGGTTTCTTGGCTTAATGACCAAGAGCAGTTCCTTTGCCAATATACATCTGTCAAGGCTCAGCCCCAGACCCTGTGAAAGTAGCACCATATGTCGGCAGCTTCAGTGACTTGCAAACACCAACTTGGATGCAGCTCTCCATCCCTCGATCCTGTTAGCCACCCTGTGCTGTTAGAGAGGAGACTGCCTCCCAGCTGAGCTCTAGAAATTGCTGKCTCTGGTTTCTTCACCCTAAAAAGGGTGTAATTCCTGCCTGCCATAGGGGAGTTACGAGTATCAGATAAAGTTTGCAGCTGCTTGTAGCCCTGTGCTGTGRAGCACCAGGCAAAGTGCTTTTCCCTTTGAGGGATGCAGTGATACACTTCCTTTTTGCTGAACAGCCAAATTTTGRGAGAATGAGCTGAGATTGTCTCAGGTTCCTCTCCAGAAGCTGAGGGATGCTGGTAACTGCTGCTGAAACCTGTGCTGACTGTTCCTACAAGAGCAGCTGAGCATTGCCCAGGACAGGCCAGGGGRGATTTGGCTCTGAAGGATCTCTCCACCTTCTCTCCTGAGTCTTGCAGCCCAGTCACAAGGGTCAGTAAAGGGCTGTGGCTGTGCTGGTACCAAAACATYATAAATAATTTTTCTCTGCTACAAATTGTCATGGTGCAGGGAAACCTTGGGCTAGTTATGTAAAAGACTGTTTGCTCCAAGATAATTGAAGCCCTGGCCTSCAAATTCAGAAACTTTGCAGGGGAGGGGTGTCTTAGATCATSCAGGGTAGTGAAGCTGGGAGCTACTTTAAGTAGCAGGGTCCCAACAAATAATGGTTTTCCCATGTGTTAGGCTGTGTATCCCCATCCTGCACCTAGTAATGACTGCTAATGAAGGTTAAACGTTCTTCGTGTCTGTGTCCCATCATTTCTGAAGGCAAGTTCTGATAGAGGGGAATRCTGCAGCTGTTTGTTGTGCAAACAGGTGAAGACTTCCTTGGTGTCCATGTGCCTCTGGATTTCTGATGAGTGGCTCATGAGACACAGCCAGTGGTAGTCATGGACTGCTCTTACTGCTACTTCATACAGTTACAGCTGTATGAAAAAAGGACTTGAAGAAGTAAATCCTCTTGGTTTTTTTTGTTGTTTTTTATTTTTTTTTGGAAGTATCGTCAGTGTGGGTGATCCAAAAAAGAAGTACACTAATTTTGAGAAGATTGGACAGGGGTTAGTATATGCCTCTTTTCTCTCCTAAATCTTTCATTTCTATATGCTAAGAAGAATTAACTGAAACCAGGCTAAGTTAGATTGCTGGAAAAGCTGTTGGGTATACTTTGGAAAGTTTATTTTGTTTGGTTGTTTCTTTGTTCTCTTCTTTTTGTTTTTGGTTGTTTTGCTGGGTGCCACATCCCCCCCAACTCTTCTCCTGCTCCTGGCAAAGTCACAGGGACTGGGTTTTTTGCAATTGTGTTGTAATGTAAGAAATTATGCCATTAGATGATCAGGTTGATAAATACAGCTACATGCAGGGAGAGAACTGCAAGACCATCTTCAAATTACAGATTTGTTTCTGAATCAGCTCTCCTGGAGGCATGTGCTGTTCCTCTCTAAGCAGAGGAGYGGGAAAGTAGAGGTTGTAGGAGAGACTGTACTGAGGCAAAACACAGATCTGCAGTGAGCTCCGTTGCTCAAACTCCTGTTTTCCTCACTACAAATGCCACATTTGTTTACTTTAGCTGATCTTGTTGCTCTGTTATCACTTTGGGTGTTCTGCAAGCCAGGGTAGTGCAGCCATGCCACTTAGAATGGGATAAATTCACAGTCCACAGTTTGCTGGTTTAGTAGCAAGGGTATGGATGACCATGGTGTTCCTTACTAGAAGCTTTTCACCCCATAAATTCTCTGGCTTCTGTTCCAACAACAGCCTTGTCTCAGAAATATTTCAGATGATGTTTACCACTGGAATTACTGAATGTAAAGGGATGGGACTGAGAGCACTCCAGGGAGCCAGGGAACCAGGAGAAGGGGCATGCATTAAGCTCTCACTTTTACTTTGAGACACTAATAAGTGACTTTTTTCTTTTCTCTGTTTAATTTAGAGCCTCAGGTACAGTTTACACRGCAATAGATGTAGCTACAGGACAGGAGGTAAGTGCTGCCAGAGTACCACAGGAGTGGATTTTGGATTGTGTCCTGAAAGTTCAAGCTGATGCTACAAAAKACTGTCTTTCAGGGATTCATGACATCTTATTTTTAATGAGGTCTTTATTTACTTACTAATGAGACATGCTTGAGTGGTCTGAGCAGAGAACTGGAAAAAATTGCTTCCCAAGTTTTGATTCCTGAGTCATTTCATATTTATAAAGGTCCTTTTTGTGATTGCAAAGGCTAGAAGCAAATGTTTGGACTGGGCGGTTCCTCAGGGCAAGTTTCTCTCTTCTTCCCCAAGGCTGCTGCCTGTCTCCATACAAACTCTTCTATTTGCCCTCTGCTCCTTTGCTTCTTACACTTAAGTTATTTAACTTGCATAGAAATAGTTTCTCTCGCACCTTTTGCCCACTTTCTGCCCTTGAATTGTGAGACAAGGAATGTCTGTTTTTTCTTTTTTTCCCCTCACAAATATTGAAAAGCGCTGTGCTTATTGCCTGCATAATAAACTATTAGTGATGGATATGCAGCATCTGTGGAAACCTTTTTTTCCTAGATGGACAATTAAAAAGAAATATGGATGTGTCTGTGTTATTCCAAATATATTTATGGAAGTCTGCAAYAATGTGTGTCAACTTTGCATTTGTACAATGTAAATTTCATGTACCTGTRCAATGTAAATTTGTACCTGTAAATTTGACAATTGTGCTTTTTGCTGAAATTCCTTCTCCCCTTTTTCAGTTCCTGAAGAATTAATACAGTTTAATTGCAGCCTTTAAGGAAGGGTTCTTATTTATTTTGAAGATATTTGATATGAGGAGGAAGTTCTTCGGTAGTTTTCTGCTTTCTTTCTGGACCCCACTTGGGTGACTCCCATGTGAAAATTTGAAGTCTTGTATCACAACAGACTTYTAAATCATTCTTATTACACTAGTGTGATCGGGCCCTGGATTTTTAAATCTGCATTTGGGAATGCTGTAACTTTGTCTTGCTGTTGCTTGCTCCTTTCTGTGAAGTGCCCTGAACTGAGGAGCTCAGKGCAGGGAAACATTGGAAGGAAACTCCTTTGTTTTGCACCATAGAGGAGCCTTGGGCTGCTTCCAGGGTAAAGAATGCTGGAGATTTTCATCCGTAATACCTATGTAGTATAACTCTACATTTATTTTGCATCCTAATGCACATGACAGATAAGGAAAATGCCMCCTTTTGCACTTGGACAGTGTGTCAACCTCTGAGCAGGAGTGAGGAAGTACAGGAGCTGCTCTGAAACTCCCTCAGTATTGGACTGGGATTYCTTTATCTGCATAAAACGCCTTTGCTCTCTTCCTGTTTCTTTCTTCTCTCTGGTCTTGTACAAAGAGCAGCATGGGGTTTTTGTCTTCTTWAAGCTCTGTTTGGCAGCTCTTGTGAGTACAGTGGAAAGCCATCATGTCTCTCTGCTCTTGCCTTCTCATGCCTTGGGATTTTTCTATAGTATTCACTGCTATACTGTCAAAATGCTAATTGTGTCCATCTATATTGGCACTCTGTGGCTAGTTTCTTTTAATTCTTCTTTTTGTGAGTTACTGGCTCTGGTCCCTTCACCCAGGCCTCTTTCTCTGTAAGTAACAATTTTGTAAAGGTGTATTTTCATTGTAAAGGTGTACTTCATTGCCTTTGCCTAAACACTGTACCAAAGAGAGTTGAGAGTTGTAACATCTATGAGTTACTTCTGCCTCCAGCTGTGCTGAGTAGGTTTGCTGAAGTGAAGGCTCCCCTGAGAGCCATGTGCTCCCAGGAAGTACTGGTAGTATGGAAACTTGAATACAAGAGTTAAAAACATGCGTGACTTTCCTTCTCTTTGCATATATGCATGCAGAGCAGGTATCCCAAAACATGTAGAAAGCTCCTGAACCAGAGGGCTGCAGCTGACAAATCCATCCCTGTTGGCCTTCAGTCAAGASTGGACATAAAGCTGACTCAATTTATTTTCAGCCATTTGTCTAAACACGGTGCTTCTTTCCCCCAGGTCTTGCTGCGACAAAAGAAATAGCGTTACTACCTTGAAGTCACTACCTTGAATTACCAAGCATGGTTGTGTTATTTAGCCACCCTACTTTAGATTTATAGAAGCARAAATTTGTGTGGGAGCAGGGAAAACACCACTAAAAATATTTTAGAAATGCACAATTCGAAGTAAAATTAATAAGAATCCTTTCAGAAATTAGAAGTTTTTGACATACCAGTCCATACCAGAGTAAGGAGMTCTCTTCCTTGTTACCAGGAAGTTGTAGATGGAGACAGCTATCYAACTGTAACATGGAGATCTAGTATGGAAACTGCAATTTCCCTTGTACTTTTTGTAATTAAGTATCATCCAGCATGTGTGGAAATGSACTGGCTGCAGGAACTTGCAGAGGTATGAAATACTAATTCAGTAGCGAAGGAGGAAAAAGTGACCTCATGATGAAAATGTGTTTTTTCTTCCCTCRGATGGATGTGGGACTAAATTGACTGGTACTGGCAGGTTCCTKGGGGACTCCTGCATTAATGACTTGATCTCTTTTCACTACAGGTTGCAATCAAACAGATGAATTTGCAGCAGCAGCCCAAAAAAGAACTGATTATTAATGAAATCCTTGTGATGAGGGAAAACAAAAACTCCAACATTGTCAACTACTTGGACAGGTATGTCAGTATTTGAAGGGTTCTCAAAGGGACTCTGGAAAACACTTTATTGTCAGTGTCTGAAGTGTTCTTGGCTGAGCTCAATGCCAGTGTAGGACAGCCTTGCATTGCTTAATGCTTATGGGAGTGTGGGTGCCTGGTGGGCTCTCTCCAGGACGAGGAGAAACAGGTATCTGAATCAGTGTTCATGGGATGTCTAGGCTCTCCTGAGAGATGCTGGCRGCTAAGGTCCTGTCAGAACTCCATTTTTCATCTCTCTCCTTTGCCAAATTTGACACAACAAACTTCCTGCTTGTTTCCTTCCTGCTGCTAAATGAGAAATAGAAACAGTTTGAAATGTATTATTTCTATTTGTTTTCCGCTTATTTTCTTTCCTGCTAAGCAAARCTGCCATTTTGCTGGCAGAGGAGCAGACTTCTTCCAGGGTTAGATGTCCCTGTGACTGTCCACTGAGGTTTTTGCACAGTAGCATAATAGCAATGAGGGGAAATGACATGTGGCACATAATATGAGGTCTGAGGACACCTCAACACAGCCTTCCAATACTTAAAGGGGCTTTTAAAAAAGAGGGAGGGTGACTTTTAAGGCAGGTAGTGGTAGAACAAGAGGGAACAGTTTTCAGCTAAAAGAGGGCAGGTTTAGGTTAGGTATAATGGAGAAATTCTTTGSTGTGAGGGTGGTGAGGACCTGAAACAAGCTGCTCAGAGAAGGTGGGGCTGCCCTGGCAGTGTTCAAGGCCAGGTTGGGTGGGACTCTGAGCAGTCTGATGTAATGAAAGGTGTCCCTGCCCATTACAGAGGTTTGGAACTGGATGATCTTCAAGGTCCCTTTGAACACAAAGCATTCTATGATTCTGTGATGCTGAAAGCCCAACAGGAAAAAGCATGGCATGGTGGCTTGCATTCACCATCAGCATCACACTGCTGCATTGTGTCAAGCCTGTGTCACTCACCKGTTAAAAATATATCTACTTCCATCTGAGCTGCAGCAAGACTTTCAGTCTGCTGCACTTAACATCTGAATGTAGCAGTTCTGATGAACTGCAGGTTTGGCTTATTGTAGGGTAAAGACTGCCTGGATAGGGTGAGCTGCACGCTTTAATCTTGGCAGCTTGGGTCTTTTGGAAGATACCATGAAGGGATGTGATCTAGAATCTATTTTGRAAATTTGAGAGAGCATTTGCACACTTTCTTGCTCTGCATGTGTGTCAAAATCTAATCAGCTGTTTTTTTAATAGCTTTCTTTAGCAAGCTTTTAATGTCTTAACTGAAAAAGGTGGCACTTACAAAATGCAACATTTGTGGTGCTGAATTGTTGTGGTGCTGTGCCCTGTGCATAGCTACTTTGTTGAGGGGACAGAAAGTCTGCTCCTGAAATTTTTTGTGAAAGAGGTGTGTGCAGGGAAGGGATGTTGGAAAGAGAGAGAGCAGAAGAATGTTGGCAGTGTGAAATGAGACAAGTGGTTAAGAATTCCATCTGGGCTGGAACTATTACTTTCTCCTAGCTGATTAGATGCTTTGTTTTGACAAAACTGTTTGAGAGACGGGTTCTTCCTGTCAGAGAGCATCACTGTGTACATGCACTTGCCTCATCTAGCCACTGCATCCCAGCTGCAGAGCAGCTCCATGTCCTGCTGTCTTGTTCAAACTTCCAGCAACAAAAGCAGCTGCTTTGTCCTCCACTTCCACTAATCTTTTTCAGAGGGATTAGCTTTTGTCTCAGTGTTGCACATGGACAGAACAGCAACTGGGATGCAATTTGGACGCCACTTGCTGGCTTCTGCCTCCTGCTGACCCTGAAGGATGCAGAAGAAGGATGTGCTGACCACAGAGTGGCCTGGTTTCTGCTCTGTGTTAGTGTCTTCCCTCCTGAGTCCCTAATGGGAGCTTCAAGACAGTCATTGGCATAAACCAGCTCTCAATTCTCTTGGCCKCATCTCCTGCCCTCAATCAAGGGTTTCCTGTGCTTTGTCCTCTCTTAAATGCATGGCCTGTTTGCTTGTGGTTAAGCAGCTTTTCTGCTGCAGCCTGAGTGGCCAGCATGGCACAAAGGTGTGCTGTGAAGTTTAAGACAGTGACATGGCCTAAGCCAGCTGTACTTGTGAGCAGGATTTAGAAGCATCTGGCTCTGGAGACAGTGACACCAGTCTTGTACAAACAGCCATTTGTGCTGAGTTACCTGCAGGAGGTGCCAGCTCCTTTCTGCTGCATGAAAGAAGCCCTCAGAGCCCTGCTTCTAAACACAGCCATCTAAACACAGGTGTCAACTGCCCAGTATGAGGCAAAGCAAACTCCTGCCCTTTAGTTCTGTTCTGAAGAGCTCCTTAACTTAACAAACCCCAGAAATAAGTGGTAGCCTCTGTTACCCMAGCCCCAGACTGYAGCAGGCATGGATGGTCAATCAGTAAAGCTGAAGATGTAAGACAGTCATGCTACAAGAACACACTGGTTTCTTTCCAAGCTACATTCACATTTGCATGTTGGTGGCATGTTACTGGTGCAAAAATCTGTAGTGAATGAACCTGCACTTCTGGGCAACTCCAAATTTTGCCAATAAAGGATGTGTATTTGTGATAGAGAGAGCTTGGTGAACAGCTTCCTAAGGTATCTAAATGGAAGCTGAGGAACACTTTATAGGATCAGACATTGCCTGCTCTTGCAGATGGATGACAAGAAAGCTGTAGACCATCTCCTTCCTTAAAGATTTTCATCAGGTTTCTCTTACTGCCAGCTTGTTTTGGACGGTGGCTGTGGGTGACAAAGTGTGACACCATGCTGTGCCTGATGTCACATCAGAGCAGCACGTAGGTGTGTGGATTTCCTGCTGGTGTCTCCAGAACTGCTGAGAGAGTGGGTTTGAGTCATGCCTACAGTGGGCAGTTCAATGACTAAGACTGATGAGAGAGTGGAAAGATCCTTGAGACGATACCACCCTAAAATGGCATTCCTGTGGTGGCAGCTGGCAGGGAGCCACTGTTAATTCCACTTTCCTGTGTGTTATGTCAAATCTATCAATTATTGAGTTGCCATGGTCTTGGCATGTGCCTGTGGCTGCTCATGGCTCAGCTTTGGTTCACAGTGTGGGTCTTGGCTCGCTCYATCCCTTCTGGCTGCAGAGAGACCAGCTTGTTCCCAGCATGTGGAACCTGAGATTGTCATACCCATCCCGCCCCCGTTCCTACAGTCAAGTGGATTTAGGCTGCATAGAGTGCTACTGGCAATGAAGGGAAACCTTGTGATGGCCAGGGTGGCTGATTCGTTGAGAGGGTGCTGCTGAAATCTGCAGAGAGCCTGATTTGGCAGAAGTWAAGAAGTAGTCATAGCACAGGGGCAGGAAGGGAGAGTGTAGATGGAGTTGGGCTTTCAGAGCCCAACAGAAGGTAAATGACCCACAGAGGTAGCAGGAGTGTCTCTGAAAGCTGTGCTGCTGCTCCTCTCTCACTCAGAGGGGCCATTCTGCAGGTGGTACTGCTTTTGCTGGGGTCTGTAATGCTGGGGGAAAAAAAGCCAGCACATCAGCTTACATTCCATAGTGGAATTTGAGACCTCTCTGCTGCGGAGCACAGCCCTATGCCCCGGGGTTTGTATCCTGAAAGAATCTCCAGATTGCACCTCCCTACATAGTCTTCARCATCAGCAAACCAAGATACCCACTTTGGAATTAAGTATTGTCCATAACTGTACATCACTGTCATCCAGGCAGCTCAGACCTCTATTCCTTTCTTGGGGGATTCTTTTCATCAGCTTAGTGTTGTYAGTGTATCCTTTGGCAGTAAAGACCACACCTTGCTCACTCCTGTGATATCTCACTCACCTCTGTTTGCTTTCCATGCCAAGCTTAATAGCTTCTTTCTCCTTTGCTGTTGCTTTCTACCTAATTGTTCCCTAGTACCTGTCCTGGCTGTTGCATTTGGCTCCTGGCAAATTCACTCTTCAGTAGAGTCAGTGTTTTAGAGCAAGGCAAATGTATCCTTGATGAACTCTAATGCCAGCTGAAGCTTTTAATTGGATTCTCTGCCCTCTCACTTTTGACACATCTGTCCACTCCCTGAAAAATGAGAGGATAGGCTGAAAATGTGGGTTTTCAAATGATGATTCCTTCCTTCAGGAATGTATCAGCCTGATGTGTCTGTCATGGAAATTTGTGTTTATGTTGTCCCAGATGGGCTCAAAAAGGCAAAAATGCTTGGTGGTTTGGGCTTCTTTTTTTTTTTTTTTGGTTCTTTTTTGTTTGTTTTTAATGAGTTAATGCTGAAGTCTTCATCTCCCRTCTTCTACTTTTAGACATGGGTACACACACCCAGCAGAGAGGAATATCCCAAATGACTGAGAAAACCCACTCTCATCTTAGCTGTCTCCTCCCTATCTTCCTATGAGCCTTTTTTAGAAAAAGCTTGCCTTTTTGGGATTTCTTTTTTTATTTTAAGTCTTTAGAATTACTGTTTCATCCAGTAAGGTGTACTCATCTGGCCTTATGAACAGTTCWGAAATTTTCAGACAAAATCACAGACTAGTTTGATAATGTGGAAAAGATTGAGGTGATTTTCAAAGGCATGGTGATTAAAGGAGGAGTGCTCTTTCATGATTTCTTGTGGGTGGCCATCTTTTGTGTCACTCAGAACTGTCCCTGGGCTGAGGCAAAGGAGGCAGTTTCTTGGGACAGCAGGATGCCAGGAGTAGTGAAACAGCCCCCAGCCACCTCTTTCCATGCAAGAGCCCTCAGAAGCCACTGCTGTGTGCCAAATSTCTGGGTTGCAAGACTGGTCTCCATCCTTGAGTAGCAGCTCTTTCTCTACTCTCCCAGCAGCAGGAGCAGTTGGAAGGTCAGGTCTCCATCTTGGTGTGCATCCTTTCCCTGGCAGAGAAAATGCAACCTTGCTTTTTTGGACAGGGAACTTTTGGTCTGCTCTCCCACTACATTTCTCCTCAACTTTCTGCACTTACCCTTCTCTTTGGTCATTCAGGTTGTGATCAGATCCTCCCATGCACAGAAAGTACCAGGAGTACGTGGTTCCCCAATTCTGTTAAATGCGGCTCTTGTTTTTATTGCACTTCTAAGACAGCTTTAAAGCCCTGTGCATTTAGATTTTAAAATCTGGTTTTGGCTTTTCAGTTACCTTGTAGGAGAAGAGCTCTGGGTGGTGATGGAGTACTTGGCAGGAGGCTCCCTRACAGATGTCGTGACGGAGACCTGCATGGACGAGGGACAAATTGCCGCTGTGTGCCGGGAGGTAAAGCAGCGCTCGCACTCAGAGAGAGCTCCGGTTGGGAATGGGACACAGACTTTCCTTGATCTGTCCCCGAGTCCATGGGAATGTCTCCAGCTTCTGTAACATGACATTCTTTTAAAGGCTGGATTTCACCTATGAGGTTGCAGCATACAATTATAATGCAAACCTCATGTTTCACCCAAGAGGGAGGACTAGAGTGGGAAATGGGGGCTTTGTCTGTTCTTCAGTCTTTTGGGGYTGCCTTGTCCTCCTAAGACCTGCTGATCTCAGTGTGACATCTCTTTGTAGCCCTGCACATACTGAATGTATGAAAGGCCCTCAGGCACTGTGCCCTTACTGCTGAAAATGCACAGTCTGTTTGAGTCCTTCAGTTGGCTAATGGTGACTGCTGAATCATTTAATGTACAGTAAGACTATCTCAATTATTTTTCAGTGYCTCCAAGCCCTGGAATTCCTCCATTCAAACCAAGTTATTCACAGAGACATCAAGAGTGACAACATCCTGCTGGGAATGGATGGCTCTGTCAAATTAAGTATGCGAGRGAACATTACTGCTGATGACTTATCAACCCATGCCAGTTATCTGCTCTGGGCCAGGCATTTTAGGGAGATGSGTGTTTGAGATGTTCTATGCTGTCATGATGAACAGGCTGTGGAAATGCTGCTGTAGATATTTCTGTGGCATTTGTTTTAATGGAGATTGGCAAACACAAATCCTTGTGAATCCTTGTGAGCAGACTTGAAGGGAGGCTTGGGCTTCGTTTAGCTTTGGGCCATCTGTTTATGAGAACTAAAATAACAATATTTTAATGCTACTCCAGTCTAGAAAGCTGGGTGGGAGGGTGTAAGGCTGGAAGTCTGTATTTATTAACCATAATAAATTTATTTATTAAACCATAATAATTTCTCTTYAGTCTGAAAAATACTGCAGGTACTTGAGGAAAGGGAAATTGGAGGGAGAATTGAAAACCATGTAAATTGAAATAATTTAATCTTACAATGCCAACCCAAACTGAAGTCTAAATGTTGTTTCCTCCCTGTGGTATCACCAGTAATGAAAAGCTCGAGACTATTCTGCCTCTTGGGTGTTAAGGCAGCTGCTGTGGTCATCATTGTCCATGCAGAGATCAGCCTGGAAACCAATTAATGATTATCTTCCACCTATAGTTTTAACAGAATGGTGCTCCCTTTTTCTTCCTCTCAGTTCTGTTGGCTAGCACCCAACAAGGATAAATAAATCTATTTTTRTCGGCAGTGACAGCAGATATGACTCAAAATTCACAGAGTGCAGATAYGCTGAGTAAGAAGGTGGGGTTTTTTTGCACATAATTGCTTTTTAAACTAAAGCTGCACTTTGGTCGAGTCAGGTCTCAGGAGTGCCAGCAATGAATAGCTGATGGGGGCCTAAGTGCTCTGTTCTTATGGAATAACTCGTTTGGGCACAGTGTGCTGGTACAGGGCTGCAGTTTAAAGTCAGAGAAATCCCTGTGGACATGATGCAGTAACCTTCTGGATCGGAGCTGTGTATTGGCTCTGCTGGAAATTTGCCCTGTTTATGAACCATATGTCCTTTCCTGGTATTTACCCTTGATGTACACTCAGCTAGGAATCAGTTTAATTTTCATCATTCTGCCTAAAATTAGACCTGTGATGCCATAGGGGGTCAGGATGGGCGGAGCGTCTTGCTGTGTTGATTCTGCTGGGCTCACAAGAGCAGGTTTATTTTTCTTTTGGGAAGCCAAGTACAAGTAAGGCATAGGGCCCAGCAATCTTTGTGTGAAGGCCCTCCATCTTTCTCTCTGTTCTAAGATAGTCAATATAAATTTAGGCACTTCAAATTTATTTTGAGCACTCCTTAGTCTATAAAAAAATGCTGTTTGAGGGATGATATGTCTGCTGGGGAAGTAATACCCCTTGGACTGAAAATACCACCAGACAGGACAGTGTGTAATCTGGGGGTGTATCTAGGTCAGACTGTGCATTAATTCCTATTTTCACATGCCCATGAATGGTCTTCAGACCATATATTACATAGTGTGTTACAGCTGCGTGATGCTGCAGCACAGTTGAGTGTCTCAGTCTCTGAGTGGTTATTTACTGATCSCCATCTTTCACACAGACAAGTTAGCAGCTCTAGAATCCTCGTGGCCTCAGGGAGTCAGGTTCAGAAATTTGGCTCTAAAAACTGTCTTCTGTTTTAGCCACAAAAGCACTTCTCCTGTCACAGTTGCAGCAGCAGCACACCAGACAGTGCAGCAGGGTAAAGTACTGTAGCTCTGCTGTCAGTTAGAGTTGTTTCTGGAGAAACTTGCTGATTCCTGTGTCTGAGTCCACCCTGTTTTCATTTTCCAGCTGACTTTGGCTTCTGTGCCCAGATCACTCCTGAGCAGAGCAAGCGCAGCACCATGGTGGGCACCCCGTACTGGATGGCGCCTGAAGTGGTGACACGGAAAGCCTATGGGCCCAAAGTGGATATCTGGTCACTGGGGATCATGGCCATCGAGATGATCGAAGGAGAGCCCCCCTACCTCAATGAGAACCCTCTGAGAGTAAGCAAGTGCTTTTCTTCTCAGGTCTTCGCTAAGCTGCTGGTGAAACTGAGCTCATGTGAATCCCCTGGTGTGGTTTCATCACCTCCCCAGCCCTGTCTAATTCAAAAGATCTGTGATCTCCTTAGATGTATGTCATAGTGAGAAGATTGAGATGGTCTTAGTTAAAAGCCATAGGTYGCTCTGGGTAGCAGAGGTGTRGGTTCTTCCTGTGAGTTAGATCTCRTCATAGTTATGAKGCACACTCATAATYTCSCACTTTCTGGGATGCTRATAGAGGCAGAAGTTCTACCTGATGGCACCAAAACAATGATATCTTGAAACTTTCTACCATGAGAATGAGACAATTCTGCTCTGAGCAACCTGGTGTAGTGGAAAGTTCCCTGACCATGGCAGGGTGTTGGAGCTAGGTRATGTCTAAGGTCCCTTTCAACCCAAAGCATTCTRTCTTTCTGTGATTCTATTCAATTCTGTTCTAGTAGGAGCYATTGCCTACTGACAAATTGTTCTTCCTTGCACGTTCCAGGTAAAATTAGAAGCATAATAAGCCTTTAGACAGGGCTTAAGGCTCCTGATGTCTTTCCTTTGTTTAATTATTAACAAAAGGAGATATGCTGTCARCATATAGGGACATCACTGCTCTTAATATGAGCTGGGTTTATGGCTTTTTCCCCAGTTACAGGGGTTGGAAGGATCTAGAAAAAATCTGTTTAACTTTTTTTTCCCATCTCTTGCAATGGAAGTGATTTTTGGGAGAGAAGTGCAGCAGCCAGGAACACTAARGGAATAGAACTGTGTTGAGTTTAAGTAACAATACTTTGGCCTCATTTAATTCAATTTATGCCAATTCCCAGGCTATCAGACTGCTCCCATGGGACTTRTTGAGTGATGTGCTCAAAAGGCCTGTATATTAACAAGTCTCTGACAGATTTCTGATTCTTTGAAAATTTAGCCAGGAAGTTTCTCACATGAAATCCTGAAATGGATGAATTTTGAGTCTCTTGATTCTCAGAGGAGTGTGTGTGTGAATGCTTCATCCCCAAGCAGTAGCAAAACTTTTTTTTCCTGCAAGGTGCTAAAAGATGTCTAAGGGTTTGCTGGACAACTTTTGGGAGTAGCCAACTGCGCCTTTATTGTGTTGATGTTTTAGACCTTGTGCACTCAGGCAAAGTACCAAAAGAAAAAAAGATCTGTTTAGTCAGGGCYGCCTTCCCATGAGGATATATTCATTACAGGAGTAATGGTAGAGTCATGCCAGTTAACTTCCCTATGCAAACAGGGTCTGGAATGTTGTTTTTGTCCTTGTAATCGCTTGAGAGGGCTGCAGGATCCAAACCCAGATTACAAGGGTAAAACAATAAAGGATTGGATCTCATCCACAAAAAAATAGGTCTGGCAGCTGTTCTGTTTGCTGAAATGTAGGCATTGATTAGACACCCTGATAAGGTGGGTTTTTTTCCTCCCCATTGAACTGGAGGGAGGGAAAGGAGAAATGGGTGTCTCTAATCCAGAGATGGAATCTAATCTTCATAACCTCCTGTTTCCTGGGTGCTTGTTTTTCTCTTAGGCCCTATATCTCATTGCTACTAATGGGACTCCAGAACTGCAGAATCCAGAAAAGCTTTCTCCCATATTCCGAGACTTCTTGAATCGCTGTCTTGAAATGGATGTGGAAAAGAGGGGTTCTGCAAAAGAGCTGCTACAGGTAGGTGATGGGGAACAAGGCTGGACCAAGGTGATCACACCATCCTGAGTGAGGTCAGGCTTAGGGTGAGATCCTGTTTGACATTTTAAATCCTGCATCAGCTGAAGTCACCAGCACAGCTAAGGTAACCTCTCGGGGAGAAAACGCAACCAAAAACCACAGCCCCCAAACATAAATCTGTAATAAAGTGTTAACAGCCTGCTCCCTKTCCATGCTGCAGTGGCTGCTGGCAGCAGCTGTGCAGCGTGTTGTGTGTCCAGTCTCAAACAATAACCATGCCCCAGACCTGCCAAATGCTGAGCCTCTGATCCCCATAGTTCCTTCACATAGCTGGCCATGACATCTGCATGTGTTGTCACAGTCTTGTCATGCTTGTTCCAGTTTGGACAGCAGGAAGGCTTCCAGCTGTCAGATATTCTGGCTGTCTCCCTTCTGGAGCAGGGATCACAAAGCTTTTTGAAATGTGCATGGCTTCCATTAGCTGGAGTTCTGTGTTACCATATTTTGCCCGATACCACTCCTTGCAGAGATGATGGAGCAAAGCTTGTGAGATATCTTAATTWTAGAATGGTTTGGGTTCAAAGGGTCCTTAAAGACCCTCTAGTTCCATGTACCCTGCCATGGGCAGTGATACYTTCCATTAGACCTGCTCAAGGCCCATCCAACCTGAGCAGCCACAGCTTMTCTTGGAAACTTGTGCCAGTGCCTCCTAAAATCACATACCACCCTACAATCAGATACTGAATATATGATATCTTAGTCTGAACTCCTGGTGAAAGCTGAGGACCAAGGYGCCAGACTTTTTACCAACATGGATAAGTGTTTTGTGTGTTCTTTCTGTCAAATTTGCCACGAGGGTGGAATATATAAGTCTTGGAAAAATAAATCTGTGATCAGGAATACTCAGACCTGAAGTGTCAGACAGTTTCCATTTTTTTTTCTTTCTTTCACTAATTTGTCTAGTGGGCTCAGACCTGGATTTGTTGCTGCCTTCTGAGACTATAATGAAGCATAAATGTCTGACAGAATGGCAGTAGTTGAAGGATCACTTTTTCTTCTGGACTTTTCAGTGCTAAAATATTAAAAAGAAATTATATCCTGTTCCTTGAAGCAGGAGAACATTCTGACTGTAACACTTCTGCCTGTTCTTAACTACCTTATGTCCTCTGAATTTTTTCTTTTTTTTTTTTTAAATCTCTGAAGCATGTTACCTTGGGTAACAGATCCCTTCTGATGCTCTGAAGTCCCATGGGTTATAGTTGCTTTTTGCTTTCAGAGCTTGTGGTTGTGCCCTTCACTCTTTCCAGAGAGCTCTTTTGATAATCAATATTGTTTTATTTAAAGAAGARCACCTATATGGGAGATTGAATGGTGCTGTGTTGCAAGCTCTGTGCTGCCCTCCTAAATTTCAGCTGCTTTGCAAATTTCTGATACCTGGTGGAAGGCCAAGGCAATGCTTTCTCCAGACCTGTGTAAACAGGAAATGGGGAAATGAGGGGTGATTCCTGCACAGAGCCTKGTCTGAATCACACAGGTTGATTTTAGTGCATCTTCCACACTAGATTTCACTATAGATTTTGTAACTTTATAATTCCCCAGGGGAAGTTGCTGAGTCTTGCTTAATCTTGARCATGTGCAAACCTTATATAATTTAGCATATGTTGGGTGCAAATCTCTTCATCTCTTCAGGCAATCCCCAGAATTTTCTGGTAGTAACATCTTCTGGTATCACCTAGTTCAGAGACTAGGTTCTTAGATTTCATATGGGTTTAGGTGAAAATGTTTAGAATAGCCACTTCTGGGGCATGTTCTGAAAAATCTGACCATTTTTCCTTTTGTTTCATCCTAGCACCAGTTCCTGAAAATTGCRAAGCCTCTATCCAGTCTCACTCCTCTGATTATTGCAGCTAAAGAGGCAGCCAAGAACAACCATTAAAATGGYGAAGTCAACACAGTCATCGTGTCAAGACTTTTAGAAGTTGGTTTCAGAGACTGAATTACTTGCCCCTCTCCCCTTCTGCTCCTTCYTCACAGGGGTGCTCTTAGGACTTTGACTTGCCCTGAAGGGTGGCAGAGGCATCGTTCACTGTGTGTGAAAGGTCACACAACCAGGACATGGCTGATCTTGCATGGTGAACTGTCCTTCCATCCTTGTGATGGGGACAAGAGGGGCAAGAAAATTTTGTCGGGTTGAGAAGATCTTTCTGAGAGTGTCTGAACTGACCTACACTTAGTGAAGCCAGTTTGTTTTCGTATTTCTTACGGTGTTTATTTTTAAAAATAATGTGGAGCCTTAGACCATGTTTATCTTAATAAATTAAATCTTTTGCTGGCTGCACTTTGCCTGCTTCTGCCAAGCTGCTGTTACACCAGGGAGACTGCTCTGTGCTTTGGATGACTGGAGCAGGGAAGGAGGCAGGCAGCAGCAATGTGAACAGCTGTCAGCTGGGAGAGGAAACAAGGGTGAGAAGGTGTGTTCCTCCTGCAGCACTGCTGGATGCTTCGAGGAAGTGTGGACAAAGCCTCTGTGTGCTTCCTGCAGCCACTGGAGAACTTAATTCATGGATGACCTCCTTGCCAAATTGTGTGAACTGCCCCCTGCTCCCCCCTCCCCTTCCCCCTTTAGTGGCAACTCTACTAGTTAAACAAATCTCAAATATTTTTTTGTTGTTCTAGGAAATAAATCACGGGGAAAAAAATGACAGCTCTTTTAGGGTTATTTTATCAGCGCTGTGAGGCTTTTTAGMGACACTGCCCTGTGTAATAAAGCAAACAGAGCAACTGCTATTCTAAAGACAAGATTTGCCTGCAAAATATGTTGAAAAAACTSTTGTTTCTTAGAGCAAGTCCAATGGAAAACAAACTGATCATGGATGCTGCTTTGTCCTTGGAGATGTGGGGACGTGAATTCTTTGAAATGATGGTTTCTTTATGCTACTGATTCCTTGGGTTGACTACAGGCTATAAAACAGCAGGAAACCTGGAACTGCTAGAAGAAGGAGTGGTTGTAAACACTGGGCTTATGTTCAACTGTATACTGATTTTTAATAAAGTGACTGCTGTGTTTCTTAACTTGGGGCTAGAGAAGAACTGGAAAATTCTCTGTCACCAGACAAGTTCTGTCATTGCTCGTGTGGTCACCGGGTACCTGAACATGTTGGATGGAGTAATCTTGTTTCTTACCCCTTCTTTGGGGGTCCTTTGGGACAGCAAGTGACTCCCAAAGGTGTAACTTTACACACAGAGAAAATGGAYATAAACAGAGTGTATTGTAACTGTGGGAGCTGCTTTCTCTGTACTGCTTTGGTCACGTATGGGGTGAGTTTAAACCTGCTTTGGAGTAACCTCTCATCTCTCTGTGGGACAGAAATTCATTCCTTCTTGCTGAGACCTGCTGCTGGTTCAGCCCTTCCCTCCCTGCACCTGGGCTTTAATTAAATTTATTTTTCTTATTGGCTCCATAGTCCATGACAGCTCTTACATCAGCTTTACCRGGTGTAGGTAATTTGTGAGTTCTTTTGCTTCTGAGTGGTCTTCTCCCATTCTTTGTACTCTGGGGTGGTCACTGTTTGACACAARGCTGAGGGGTGAAGTCCATTGCCCGAATTTGCAGCCTCTCTGTGTGTGTATATTTTATCTCCTGTACTATTAGTTTCCTCTCACAAAGTTTATATCCAAGGATGCATTTTCTGCAGAGCTGCCAGCCTGGAAAGGGATGTGATCTGTTGATGAGCTCATGTACTTCGATCTGAGGTGGAGATTATGGAATGGAAGACCACTACGCTTGAATAATTCCCTTTGAAAAAGGCTTTGTATTCCCTCTGGAAGACACGGGATGGCACACGTGGGAAGGAAAGATTTAGTGGCTAGATCTCTCTTGATCTAAAATCTCATTTGACTGGCAGATTTGGCAATTGACTCTTTTTCTGACATCACAGGGCTTCATTTGGTCCACAGTGTGTTTAGTGTTTGTGACTCCTTTAATTCCCCGCCCCACCCCATTCACTGCATCTCATTGGGATGAGGATCTTAATGCAGATGTGCCCCATCTACGAGCATGCAGGGGAGTTTGTTTTCCTGCAGCAAGATGTCTGCCAAACCTCCCCAAAGAAGATTGAAAGGGTTATTTATATGTGTTTTAAGTTGCTCTTCTGGATCCTCTATTCCATAATGGAAAGGGATCAACAGCAGCTGTTTATCCCTGCTCTTACAGTGCTTCTGTCTCGTCAGCTTCCACATTTTCTCCCTCCTGCCTGATTTCTGTTGGCTGCTGGACAGGGTTGTTGCCACAGTCCTTTCCTTCTGCAGGGAGAAGCTGCAGGAGTGTGACCATGCTTGTGTCATCCTGTCCCAGGCTGTTTTGTCCCYGCTTGTGATGGGTGGGTGGGAAGAGGAGGCGATTGCTGCGCTGTGCCTGGACCTAGTTTCTGGTTACCAGACTACATCACGGTTTTGTTTTCAGAAAATCTTAAAAAAATTTGTAATTAGCTTAATCTTAGGAGAATGGGTTTRTTTTGTCCTAGTCGTTCTGAAATGCATCCTTCCCTCCCCTCTCCTCTGATGTGTGAGTCACCTGGCACCAACACCTCTGTTGGCTTTTGAAGAGCCCCATACAGCACCTTCCTGTCTACAGAGGGCTCTTAAACGGTGACTTTCTGACTTCAAATTTAACCTTCAGGGCTAATTTTTCTGAGAATATCTTGTCCCTGCTGTTACTTGAAAGTAACTCCAACTGGACAGCTTCTTTGGTGCCTTTTTTCCCCTAACTTTCTCTTATTAGCTGATTTGCCTGAGTTGAAACCATTTTTAATCACAGCCCTAAATTATTTATTTGCCGGCTAATATTAAAGTTCTCTCTTCTATATTAGAACATTAAATATTCAATTGTTTTGACTGTCCTTTCAGAAAATTGGTTCCCTTTTTGAGGGATCTCAAGCAGTCTTATACCAGAAATAATTTCATGTCCTACAGTTTACAGAGGACTTGGTGGACAGAGACACTAACTCATCTTCTTTTCTTAAACACAGAGATTGTCTTATTTGAGTATCGGTAGCTTCAATAAGAGTTTTCCTGTTTTTCAAGAACAGACATTGATTTGTATTACTTTAGCTATTAGGATTTTTTCGGGTTTAGAGTTTTTTTTTAACAAGCAATTTGGCTCGGGTCCAATAGTTTGTGTGTGAGAGGGATATGGAGACCGCATGGGAAGAAGGCAGGTTATTTGGACAACACTCAGCCACATGGTGTGATTCTTGGAGCTGCCGTGTGCAGAGCCAGGAGCTGGACACGATGATCCTYGTGGATCCCTTCTAACTCAGGATATTCTGTGAGGCTGAGAGTGAAGAGCCAGGACAGGGATGGAGGGCACAGCAGAACTGGCTGGTGGCAGCAGGAGCAGCACACCTTTAGCCATCCCTGAAATGTCATCGCTGAATGTTTTTAAAGAACAAAARTTTGACTGATTAGTTGCTCCAGGCTCTTCTCTTGGCAGGCATTATGCTCCTACCAAACTGCATTCCCCTTTCAAACAAAAGGGGTGCAGAGATTTCTCCAGCAAAGGAGGCTCCTTGAGAAAGGAGGTTTCCATGGAGACACTTACTTGACTTAAACGATCTGGCTAAGACTTGAGAAGAGGTTTGATGGGTAGACACCACATCGACACAAAAGCCACTGTTTTGCAAAGTAGCTGGGGTTGCTGCGGTGTTTTGTTGGCAGCTTGATGCCCCTTTTCAAGGGGTTGGCTTTGAAAAAGTGCCGAGAATGTTGCCTGGTCAGGAATGTGAGGTGTGGAAAAGTCTGGCTGTTCTTAGCTTAGCTGAGATGTCTGTTCATATCCTAATCCATCTGTCCCTCGAATTGCCTCAGGTCAGTGTAAGTAGGGCACATTTGCAGCAGAGTACTGTGCGAGAGAGGATTGCAGTGGTCTGTAGTAGGTGCTTGCTTCCTTGGAACCCACCCTTCTAGGCTGACAGCAAAATTGATTCTGACCAGTTTCCAAGAATAATACTTGTTTGAAACCCATTCCTAATTAAGAGCTTGCCTAGTCCATTTGTCTGGTGAATGACAACATCTTCAATGTTAAAATTGTTAAAGATGAACTGATTATCTGCTCGTCTTTCCTCCATTAAACAGTAAGACTTTAATGGCTTCTTATTTCAGCTGTAATAGAGAGCCTGTAGATGTATTTTGGGGTGTTGAGCCCGACTGGATGGAGCATATGTGTAACAAATGCTGTAGGATCTCATAATTTGTTGCTAATGACAACTCACAGTGGCAAAGGTGGGATCCTGGAGAAGCAGCTGCCAGCTTTGACAGGGAATGGCCAACAAAAATTGCAATGCAGATGGGAGCTGGACAGAAACTTGCTGCCAGAGTGGAGCCTACAGGGAGTGGTGGGRAAGAGACAGAGTTGGTCAAAGGGGTAGGATGAAGCAAAAGTTAAAACTTCAATTACACAACTGCTGAGGAAATTCAGGGAGCGCCACAGTAGCCTGGTGCATCTCAAGGTAGCAGTGTCTCTGAAGGAGGAGAGCAGAGACAAGCCTTGGAAAGGAGAAGTGCTGAAAGTGGAGACAGGAGCAGCAATATGGCTCTGAGTCACAGCCTGTGCTARGAGCTGGAGTTAATCCAGGAGGTTCACAAAAAAATGACAAAATTCAGCTYAAGAGGAAAAGTGGAGCTAGAACAGAGGAGATGGCCTTGATGTGCCAAGGAACTAAGAGAGAAGCCAGATTTCCTTCAAGTGTGAAACAGCAGAAACGAATTTATCACAGGCTTCTGTGGATGGCAAGCAGCTCATTCCCTCCTGCCTTGCAGCATCGGTGCCGTGTCTGTTTGTGATTAGYTCTGCTTTGGGATCATGGGGTCAGCAGCCACCATGCTTTGGGGCTCATGTTTGTAAAGAAGGCTTTTTGCTCTGCACCTACTGATTTCTGACTGCTGCTGTCCTCTGTTGGTGGATGTCTTTGTGTCTTGTCCCACCTGGAAATACAGAGGCTGTGGCAGTTTTAAAACCTGCTGGATAATGTATTTCTCTCTGTGCTGTCTTGACATAACTCTCCTGTACTGTACTGCTGGGTTTGTTTAATGTGCCAGGTCAGCTCAGCCATTTTAAAAATAAAATTGAAACCTGAAATAAAACCTTGATTAATTACTTGGTTCTGCTTCACTTGCTGTTTCAATGATCCTTGCAGTGGTAGTATAAATGAGTGGGGGTGCTTGGAGGAGGGGTTTTGCTTCTCTCACCTGTTTTAGATTAATCAGATCTCATTTGATTGAGCAAAGTGACTGCACTAAAAGCTGTTGCAGCAAGTGTGCTTTCACCACTTATTTTAACTTGTTTGGACATGGTTAATGTTATGGAAAGCAGGCTGGAAGCAGGATCTAGACTGCAGCTTGAAGGAGAAGGAAACTTGGATGCTTGTTTTCTCTCCAGGTAAAGTTTGGTGTCTGAGGCTCCTGGTGTGAAGGAGGAAATTGGGGTGGGTTTGAGATGGGTACGTGCACCCACCTTGCCAGCACCACTTTTTCTTTCAGGGTTGGTAGGATAAGGCTGATGAACAGAACAGGAGTTTATCACACTGCCTGGGTATCATCTGACCTGAGTGTTTCACTCTGAAGTCTGAGAAGCCCAGCCCATTGCTKAGAGGACTTTGTGAGGTCAGTGTCTGGGGAATGTGGGGACAAGGAGCAGTGAGCTCTGCCAAGGTTTTGTGAGTCAGCTGGGTACTGAGCCAGGTTTTAGAGAAGGTACTGAGAGAAAAGGCCCTTGAATGGGGCACTTGACCGACTASAATGAGGCAATCCATGTTACTCCATTAAATCCCCTCTGCCCCGAACAGATATTGGAGCTGAAGATTACTTTCCATCAGCTCTTTTTCAGGAAAGCCAGAAGAGACCCATCAAGCTGTATTTTATAAAGATTAAGGGCTCTATCACTTGAGCAAGAGGAACACTGCAGTTGAACTGGCTGGGATTTGGAATTATTCACTTTGCCACGATGTGGGAGCATTGAATGTTGGATGTGCTTGGCCCATTAGAGTAAGGAAATCTGACAGGACCAACATCAGCTCCTCTTCATAAAATCGTAGAATGGCTTGGGTTGGAAGGACCTTAAAGACCCTCTAGTYCCAACCCTCCTKCCCTGGGCAGGGACACCTTCCACTAAGCCCAAGTTACTCMCAGCCCCATCMAAYGTGGCCTGGAGCAATTCRAGGGATGGGGCRTCCRCAGCATCTCTGGAAAACCTGTACATGTTCCTCATCACCCTGAGAGTGAAGAATTTCTTCCTAATATGCAATCTAAACCTCCTCTCTTTCATTTTGAAGCCATTTATCATTGTCCTGTCATTYCATGYCCTTKACCAAAGTCCCTCTCCAGCTCTCTTGTAGCCCCTTTAGGTACTGGAAGATGCTCCAAGGTCTCCACAGAGCCTTCTCCAGGCTGAACAACCCCTCTTCCTCCGAAGCTTCACAAAGGAGGGTACCAGACAAACTTTGCTCATGGTAATGTATCCTCAAAGTGCCCCTGAAATTACTACTGGGTTGGTGTCTGGTGGCTCTAACCCCTGCCCCRTGGAGTGGGCATAGTGTATTCCAGCTAGCTACCATTATCCATGATTTGTGGGGAGAACTTTCTGTCTTAGGAGCTTCTTCCCTTGGTGTGAACTTGGTTGAGTTGCCTAACTCAACTCAACTAACAGCTCATGAAGGTGGGGGATGTTGGGCAATGAATGATGTCAAAGCTTTGAGAAGTAGTTGGTGTTGATTTCAGTGAAGTATAACTTGTCTGAAGGCTCTTCAGARCCTGAAGCAGCTTTCCTTGGAGGTAAATTCATAACCAAATTTAAAAACAAATAATTGTGAAGGCTTATTTAGCTTAATAGTTTTGGAGTCAAATCAATAATTCTGGAGATGGATACAAGGTGACGATGACTTGTCTTGGACCAGCTATATTGGGGAAGTAGGGGAGGAAAGACTGAAGAAAGCTTTGGGGAAAAACCAGCTTCAGGTGTGAGCCAGACACAGTAAACTGGCAGCTAAATAAATCCTAGCGGGAACAGTAATTCTGTGTGTAACTGCAGGATATTTGTTTATTTAGGAATGGAACGGGGGAATAAGTGTTTGGTGAAGCAATGCACTGGTATGCACAACAGAGAAGAGGTGTCCTTTCTTAGGTGCTGCAGGAACACTGCAGCTCCACATGCAGAGYACGCTTTCACTGGGCCCCTCTTTTTCCAGCAGCATCCAGAAGACTTCCAAGTTTTGGTTCTGAAGCTCATCTTTGAGGAGGATCGGAACACGATGAGCAGGGAGCCGGCTGGGCTTGCCCGATCCTTCTTCATTCCTGGGGCTGTGCTGCCCTCTCCCGGCATCTGCACCGAAGAGTCCTTTCCTTTCGTTCTCCTTTTCTGTGAGCAACTAAAAGAAACTTTTTTAAAAAGAAAACTTTCTTTCTTTCTTTTAAAAAGAAACTTTTGGTGTTTCTTCTGGAGGATGCACGCTGAAGGAGCCTGGGGCACACCAGCATGGAGGAGGAGACCACCCTGACGTGTTCCCCTGTGGTCCCCCCACCTCCAGCTTTGCTCCTCTCACATTTTCAGGTTGCAGCCTTGGATGGCGAATGTGCTCCCCCAGGCCGTGGGTGATGTGCTCCCCCTCTGCTCCCTTAATGCTCACATGGGTCCCTAATGCTGGCTTCACCGACACCTTGGGCTGCCCCCAGGTCTGGAGGAACTTTGTGGGGGCTTTCTGCTGTGACATGCTGGTGAAGGAGAAGGGGAACTGTGCCACAATGGCTGGCAGGGCTGAGAGAGGCTGCTGGGCAGAGGATCCTCCCCTGTGAGGGCAGTGAGGGGTGAACTGAAGCACGAATCGTCCCTCACCCCACACCTTGCACCCTAAAAGAGTTACCGTGTGTAAATTTGGGGCCAACAGCTCTTCTGGCAGTCAGRGCCATGGTCCTGCTGGCCACGTGTGCAGCTGCAATGGTGTCCAGGGCTCAGGGGTGCCTGGACCGTGCCCTGCAGGGCAGAGAGCAGGTGAGAGTCCTCTCTTTTCCCACTGGAGTGGGGAGCTGGATTGCTCAAAGRTGGACTGTGGGGTGAGTCCGGGCTGGCACAGGAGGGCAGTGAAMTGGGGGGCAAACTGCTCCCTCAGCCCCACTCCTTCTCATTCCCCAGCCTCAGTGCATCAATGGTGAGTCCCTGGATGGGAAGCATCCACTGCTTCCTTCTATTCCTCACATTTTCTGACCACATCAGCCTCAAACCCCACCTCTCACTCAAGGCCTTTGTGTTTTGGAGTCGCTCTGAAGCCCCCAGGCTGTGGGAACAGCCCATCCCAGGGACACTGTAAACTGTCCTATCTCTTTTGCACCGTGAAGGAGCCACCAGGCAGATCCCAGCCCAGGAAGGAACAGCTCAAGGTCAGCGGTAATGCTGGGACACAGAAAGATGTTGATGTCCTGTCCCCAGAGCAGGCACCACCCAGTTCAGGTGTCCCCTTGCCCCAGGGAGAGCTGGTTGGGTGTCTCTGACTGGGTGCAGGAGCTTTAGGCAATGTCACCTCTGGTGCTGGTGTGCTGGGGAAGGGACATCTCATGATGCTGGGTCCCACTGGCCAGCCTGCGTCTCCTTGGCCGTGCCACCCCAAGAGAAGGGCAAGAAACAACCAGTGAGTCCTCTGGACTTACTCTGGTGATGACAAATGTCACCTGAGAGGCTCCACGGTGACAAAACTGCAGCACAAGCAACGTGGCCCAGGCTGGGGGACACAGGGCACAGTTTTAAGAGCCTGAGTGGTGGGAACTGCCTTTGCTAGTCCAAAACGGGACATCAGCTCTGAGTCCCCACAAAATTCTTTGGCTGCTCAGGTCCCTGGAAGGTGGTTTATAACCCTGGGGCAGTGGGGGTTCTTGCTGTGACATCCCTGCTGAGGAGCAGCAGGGTGTCCCCACCACTCTGGGGGAGGAACCAYCAGGGCAGGGGGAATGTGGACACCCAGGGTCACCCAGCAAAGAGGAGGAGGAGGCAGCACAGAACAGCTGCCTGTGTGCTCGACAAACAAAACTCTCAAGAGCGTCACTCCTGAGATCTGTCACGGTCCTTCCTCACCATTTGCCATACAACATTTCTTGGACACATTCAATTTTGGCCACGGGATGTTTTATGACACCCTCTTCTTCCTCACTGGTTCTTGCATGATTTYCCCCTCTGGGAATCCCTTGGCTTCTCAGGATACCTCAAGTTGTATCCTCCTGGGTGTGTTTACAGTCCCCTGATTTCTGCCAGGAAAGACCAAAATGATGCTGTTTCTTAAAGGGCAGCCCCAAAACATGGAAGAAKAGTGGGGACAGTCCCTTTGCCCCTTTGTGCAGAGCTGTGCCAGCTCCAGCAGCAGCCAGCCCTGCCATGGGAGAGCAGCAGTGGAGCTGCTGCAGCAGCAGCTGTGACAAGCAGAGTTTGTCTCTGCCAGCTGTGCTGAGGAGGATGCAAAACTCCCTCCATCCACCCAGCACAGGCTGGTTTTGTGCTGGGGGCTGGCTCCCCATGGTCAGGCTGTGTGATGAGTCTGTCTGGTCCCCCTTGCTGCCCACCCCAGGGATGTGGCTCTCCCAAAAACGATGCTCAGAGCCCCATGTTGAGCCCCAGCACTGGGGAGGACTTGCCTGGCAATTCTGCCTGCCTGAGGTGATTTTTTTGAGTTTATTTTTTGTTTCTTGGGGTAAGTTTTGTGTTTGGTGGGTTGCACACTCTGGAATAAACTGCCATGCCTTGGGCACAACTGGTTGGACCTTGCCCCATGATCCACAGCTGCTGCCATKCTTGGGAAGGGACAGCAGCATTTCTTGGGAGTAAGTGCATTTAAAAAAACTCTGATTAACCCAGCAGGCTGAGAAGTGCTGGTGTCCCAGGATACAGGAGCAGGGCCAGGCCCAGGTTTCCAGGGAGGTTTGCCAGTGTCCTKCAAAACCTGCTGCTCCCCATTTTCATTGTTCCTCTGCTTTAACCTGAGTCTCCCCACACCAGCACTCTGGGGGTGCTGATGCTCTCCCTGTTTTTTGTGTGTCACAGCTGTATGTCAAAGGGTTCGGGCTAGGAGATGGCAAGAGGATGTGTCCCCCCTTCCCCTGCAGCCTC